GATACAACGAAACCTCAAACTTAGGTAATTACGCACTCTAGAAATAAAATCATAAAACAAAGCGTATAAGTTAGAAAGTTATATGCAACCTTGAACACGTTAAAAACATGCAAAGGGTAAGTACCGTAAATAAAACTCGTCCTTCATTTTCTTCCTCTCCTGGTCATACAATTGTTCTGGTTTGGGCGGGGTTGATATCTCTCTTAGGTTGAACCCCGCCAGCTCGACCTTCGCTTTAGCTGTATTGTTCAGATCTGTAGCTGCTTCCCCGCAGGAGCGTCGGGTTTGCTCTGATTTCTCTCTGTCTCCCCAGCTTGGGGAACTCGTCCTGAAATGCCTCCTCCTTCATCTCCGGCTTGGGAGTGTTCGCTTGACGCGACAATACGTTTGACTGGTGAATGTACTCAAAAACGTGATGCTGAAAGTGGTCTTTTTTTAATATTTTTGTGAAAGTAACGAAATCATTGCAAGTATTGTTTTTCTTCTGTTGTTGCAGTAGTGTATTAATTTGAGACTCGAGGCATCTTGAGAAGACCAGCAACGACGTCCGGCACGAAAGAGAAACTTTTAGTTTAAACTCTTACTTAGAATAACCTATACAAGTAGGCTCCAAACTAAAGAGAAGAAATACTAGTGATTCCATTACCTTCATAAAAATATTAAAGGAGAAGAGCACTTCCAGCATCGCGTTTTCGGGTACGTCCTTTAGTGAAACATATAAAAAATTTTATTGCAGTATACTACAAAACGTTGGCAGCAAAAAGAGCAAAACAATACCGATTGTGAAATATTTGGGTTAGAACGGCTCAATAAGCAAGCAGAGCCATATAAACCGAAAAAAATACAAGTTTCTAAAGGTGACCATGTCGAGAGTGAATTGCATTTTTTTTGCACTTTAAAATGGTCTAAATTTGCCGCTGGCTCACTTTCTGAGGTGAACTCTTTCGATTTCAATATCCGGTATCAAGTGCTACAAGTCGGCAAAAAATAAAAAAAATGTGAGAAATCGAGATGCAAACTTGTGCGATTTGCCGTGGAATGGCCCACATATAAGCTTTTGCAGTTGCTCAGATTTTTTTCAATCTTAAGCCAACTTTTTACAGTGAAAAAGAAGTCACAGTCAAGAATGATGAGAACCTTTTAATATTTTGATCATGTGGATCTTCAACAAAGGCCTAGCAAAGTCGCATTTTTATGTTTGGTACCTGGGATCCAAGGAGGCCGATGGAGTTCGAGGTACGACTGTAGCGTTGCCAGCAATGCGCCAGTTGCTTCGTGACAGCTTCAGACGAACACCCAACAAAGCCACAGTACAGGTCTGACATATTTCATATATTATTATAATTACGGCTAAAATACCTTTGCATAATAGCAATTTTAGTACTGAATCTAAAACAGTAGTTATGTGTTTATCTGCCTTAAAATTGCTTTGGAACTTGGAGTCGGTAAATTTTCCAAAGAAACTGTAATGAAAAATCTAGTTATTCACTTCTGGGAATTTAAAAATAATTATTTTCAAGGGAATTTAAAAATAATTATTTTCAAGAATCAAGCCCATATAGCACTAAAAAACTTTGTTCCCTATGATTTTGCTTGAAACATTTATTTTGTCGACTGCATTAGTAACTAAATTCTCTAGCCTCTGTTATCTTCATAAATGCGGTACGACAAGATAAACTACATTAATTTTGATGCACCTAGCAATTTGATCGAAGTTTTTTGGCAGCAGTTGTACTACTGTTTTGAAGTTCCTGTACACCAGTTACAGATCAGCGGAAAAGGCCTAAAACTGATCCAGACAGTGCCAACGATGGGTAAAAGTGGCAAAATCAAAATGCAGCTTGTGAAATTTCAAATTGCTGCAAGCAATATCACGTACAGCATGACAGGAAAACCTCCATTCGACGATGTCATCGCCGTAGTCATGCTTGTATTCAATCCTGAAATGCATAGCCCTATCCACGTTCACTGTTACAGATGTGATAGTGCTGAAACCGCAGCAATCATGCAGGCCAACCTACAAGTTACTGCTCACACCAAAGCTTGTTTGATTAACAAAATTTAGCATAATTTAAAATAATTGAATTGCTGCAAACATTTTGATTTTTTTCGACTCTTAAGGTTCTCATTGGACGTCCAGATACGCAGCGTTCGATTGCCGCTCTGGAACAGCGACTCCTCATCAACGATATTCTTTCAAATAAGGGAAGAAATAACTATCAGAAAAGTCTTGATGGACGTCTACCAAACGGTGTTGTTGATGAATTAAAACGAAAACTTTCAAGCAACGAAGAACGTGCTGTAGGTTGAAAATTCTTGCATTATCTTTTAATCATCGACTATATAGGTCAATACCTTAATTCAAGAAGGAAAAATAAGTTTACAACAATTTTTTTTCACAGTATCACTGTAGACTACTAGAGAAACACGACCAGCGTTAGCAACTTTATTCTTTAAACAGTATTTAGCTGAAAATCCTTAAGAAATCTTTTCAAGTTCTGATCAGGTACTATTTTAGCCAAGAGGCCGAAGCAAGTTCTCTCATTCCGCCACAGTATCCGATCGATATGTCGGAAAGCTGTCACCCGATAGGAAACGGTATTCGATGGATGAATTACCTAAGCGGGAACCAATCCCAAATTCTGAGCCAAGGCTAAGGCTTTTTGGTGATACCATCATTCGTAATGGTAAATCTCGGTCTGTTGATAATCTCACAGTATCAACTCAGGTTTCAAGGTAAGTTTTGTTTCTGGCTTCAAAACTAAACTTTTATGAATTTCATTCCGTCAGTAACCAACTTAAATGACATTGTTCCCGTCCACTTTACAAACACTTTTACCCTGAACTATTGACAGTTTGAAGTAGTAAGGCTTGAAAAGTAGACAGAAGCAATTTTCAAAATTTTTTCTTGAATTTAAAAAGGAAAAAAAATCCAACAAAACTGGCGACAATAAAGGTTCCAATCGTTCATTTGTCAGTTAGAATAATTATTTTCTTGTTCTTAAACGAACGTGACGCTACAAAACCCCTGTAGCCAAAACAGCTAATTTCTTTATCTAAGTGCCGCATATGACCTTTTGATGCCAGCTCAAACTACAACAAAAATTGCCGAGTAATATTAACAGTAATCAAAACACTTCTACATTACTCAGACATGCAAAAGAGAACAGTGGTATAAAATTACTTTTTGCACCTACCACTCTAATCAAACCAATGTTTAGAGGGCTAAACAAAATTAAAAGCACGGACATTAGTGCAGAAAGAAAATTAAATTTTCTGAGTAAAGTGATAGAATCAGCCTACGCAAATTCACACATTCCCCTTTGCTTAATCCCACCACTGCCACGCTGATATCTTCTAACGTCTAGACTGAACCCTCTTTGTTGATAATTCTCAGTTCAACCCACTAAAATGCAATTAAACAAATTAATTTAATTTTCCGTCATGTTAAATTAATATTAGTAACTTTTGCAGGTTACATGGAGATGATTTCATTCCCTCACGCCGGTTCCCACAACGGGACGTAATTGACCCATTTGGTCGATCTTATCATAAAAGCACAAATGTTGGCGGATTTTGGAAGCGTTCTGAACAGTCGTTGAATGCTTTAAACAAACTTTGATCCTGAAGGCTTCCCAAATAAAATGTATATTACGTACGCTGTATAAAAACTATATATGTCCAGTGGTTATCGGGCATCATTCCCATTACTTCGGATGCCACAAAAACTTGCTCGGATATGTGTAGGCATGCTAAGTTTGATTACACCGGTATAAAAATCCTGCCCCAATGCTTTCCTTTCTTCAAGATTCCTAATCAGTTAATTCCCAATTTTGTAATAAACCTCTGAGCTTCGTCAAAGTTTGGCTTGAAAAGACTACCGATTATTTCTGAACAAGCAACAGCGTTCTACGGCTGCCCAGCATCTTATAACTCGGAGCAACTCTCCGGAAATTGTAAAGAAACAGCATTTTACTGCTTCGCAAATGTTTTTGGAACAGCGCTCAGTTGTCCGTCACGAAAAACATAAAAAGTGGACCACTGCAAGAACAACTTTCTGAACATCAGCAGCTGACAAAAATTTCCAAATATTATAAAAGAAACAACCTTTGTTTCAAAAACTCCAGTTCTTCTCCATTAAGCGGAGGTATCACGAAAAAATCAGCGCACAAAGTCATAAAAAATCAATTATAGATTCAAAAATTGGTTCATTGTGGCCAAGAAAAGCTTAAGAACTTAAAGAAGCTTACAATTTGGATACTAAGAGCGGTAATTTGAATCCCAACGAGCATAAACATAAACTAAAAAATCCTCTGTGATTAAAAAAGAAAAAACAGAAGCAGTGAGCTTCATACAAACAGTTGACAACAACGCTTCCAAGCCACCTTTTTTAGCTCTTGTAAAACATCTCAAGCAGTTCCCAGACTTTGCTAGCATCTCTTTCAAATTAGATGTACTATAAGTTTTATTACTGCACCAGTCTTAAAATACAAAGTACAACACAAACTCTACATCAAAAGCTGGAAAACGTGGCACTCTTGGTTGTTCATTTAGAGGATGAACTTTATAGCCAAGACCAAAAAACGTCAACACGTATCGAAACTTTGACACTTTGGACGTAGCACTGGTATCTTTACCAGAATTCGTTGCGCAAAGCAAAATAGGTGAAAATTTCTCAGTGATCTCCTCGAAGTCCTGCCGATAACAGCTTAAAGTAGTTGCCTACAAATTATGTCAGGAACAAATCCCCGGCTTTCTGCAGACACTCGCAAATCTGGTCTGTCATTCTTGCTCCACTATTCCAAATGGCGAAGGCCACTAGGCATACGCTCTCTAGTAGACGTCGCTCCCGCGAACGGCTTGCTTTAGGGTCATCCAGAAAACCAACTCCAGGTCGCCTATGAATGAGAAAAAATGAGAAGTCAAAAGTGAGATTACGTGTATAGCAAAATGACGGTGCGGTTTGCTATGGCACCACAAGACGTCCTGTATTTATTCACCAAAAAACAGAACAAGAGGACTATAGCAGAAAATTTCCTCAGTGAAAAAATCGCTTGAACGATAGTGCGACGACTGTATTAGCACGGCAACTTTACAGCACTGGCGCTCAATGTGCTTTCGCTGCGGAACCAGCAGAGTCGTTTCTTTAGAAGAGTAACTGTTGGCTAACTTTGCAAAGTAGTTCATTTACAGGATTTTGAATACCTTGGATTTGATTAGCGGTCCCAGAAAATCCTATTTGCATCTTCTTTACTTAACTTCCTATTATTTAAAGTTTTTTCTACTTAGAGCGGTTGCTGAGGGTCCCTGACATACTGCTCTCTAGTGGTTTTTTAAGAATGGCACTTGGTGTTTAATCCTACACCAAGTTTAGGGTTTCAGGGAGGGAAGTAGTTTGAAGTGGAATCAAGTAGAAACTTTGTTCAGGGGAACAGATGGGAATTAAGGTTAAAAAGTTCTGTTGCTCGTTTCCGCTTAGACGATACGGGGCTTCTCGGACGTACTGTACGAATAACTTGTGCGTTTTGGGTTTAAAGGCGATTGTCTTCTAGTTCAAGAGCTGCCCTACTTTGGTGAAATTGGTAGTGCTCAGCTGAGTACTTAGTTGTAGATAGCTGCAACCACGTTTATTTTAACTTCTATGTATCATTACTTTCTCTGCTTAGTGTTATTAAAGTGTTTACTTATTATAGAGGGAAAGTAATCTTATGGTTTCTTCTCTCAGCTTTTTCGTTATTAGGCATTTCAAGGTGTGATTCTGTTTGTTTATCAATGCGATTGGCTTTTGAGCCCCATTATCTTGAAAATGAAAAAATTATTTAAACTTTTTTATGCATTGTTCGGGGGAATTTAGGTTTTGCTTTTGGTTTTACCAAAAAAAAAGTTTTGAATGAAGGCTTAGGCGGGGATCCGAGAAATCGGAACTTTTGCGATCAGAAGTTTCGACAGACTAAGATTTTCTGTTTGCTGTCTCTTTACGATGTCAAAATTTCTGCTGGATTTTTTTTTTCTTTTTTTTTTTTTTTTTTTTT